CTGGTACCCTCTTCTGGTGTGCAGATATATATGGAAGCAGAGTGTTGTACACATAATAAATAAATAAAATCTTTAAAAAGAGAAGACTTATAATGGCGTTGCGTCCTGGAGTTCACCCTATAGACCAGGCTGGCTTCAAACTCACAGAGATCCATTTGCCTCTGCCTCCTGAGTGTGGGCATGAAAGGTGTGTGCCACCATGCCCAGCTTGGTAAACATGAGTTGAAAAATACCTGCCATGGGTCTCCCAAAGGTCCACGTGTGAGAACCTGAATGAATACCTATGTGAATGGTACTTGAGGGCGAGGCTTTGGGATGGTATTGGGGTTGCCTGAGAACACAGGGGTTAGACAATACCTACAACATCAGTGGCCTCATGAGAAGAGGAAGAAAGACCAGATTCCAGCAGGGTTGCTTGTCCTGGCATGTGATACTCTCTGCCATGTTATGGTGGACCAAGAAAGCCCTCACCACATGCCAAGAAGAGTATGGCACTGCCCTCTGCATCTCCAAGGCTCCGAAACTGTGAGCCAGATCAAAATTGTTTGCTTGGTAACTCCGGGGATAAGGTCTCCCTCAGCTATCCATGTTGGCCTCTCACTCAAGGCTCTCTGGCTTCAGCCCCTCACACAGCTGAAATTACTGAAGTGTGTTACTGTGCCCAGTTTAAACTTTGCAAAGTCTTTAAGTTGTGGATTACCCAATCTCAGATCTGTTTGTTTGTTTGTTTGTTTGTTTTTGTCATAGCAGTGCAGAATAGACGATGGAAAAGGAGAATGTATTGATCCTTCCTGCCAGGCATCATAGCTTATCAGCCCAGAACAATGGACAATATCAGTTCTCTCTTTGTACGCCCAGGGCTACCCAGGAGCTGTGGTTCACTGTGGCCACTGTCAGGCTTTCCAGGAGAGAATCATAGCAAATCCCACAGGCTCGAGAAAAGGCCCACATCCCAAACTGGAAGTATGATTTCGATTAAATGCATATTCCTTTTGCAGCACCATAAAGAAAAACAAAGGCAGTACAGCAAGATGTTATAAGTCTGGGGCTATCTGTACTTCCAGAGCACCTGAGATTCCCCAGGCCCTTCTAGCCCACTTGGCATAGAGACTCCCAGGAGAGACTTCCAACCCTGATGATAATGGGAAGGCTTCACTCCCACCTCCATGACTGTCTTAGGGTTATTGCTGCTGCAGTAAAACACCATGACCAAAGAAACTTGGAGAGAAAAGGGCTTATCTGGCTCACACTTCCACATCACAGTTGGCCATCAAAGGAAGTCAGGGCGGGAACTCAAGCAGGGCAGGAGTCAGGAGCTGACACAGAGGCCACGGAGGGGAACTGCTTATTGGCTTGCTCTTCATGGCTTGCACATTCTGCTTTCTTATAGAACCCAGGACCCACCACCCAGGTATGGCCCCACCCACAGTAGGCTGGGCCGTGCCACATCAATCACTAATTAAGAAAATGCCTTATGAGTTTGCCTGCAGTCCCGATATATGGAGGTGTTTTCTCATCTGAGGCTCCCTCCTCTCTAGTGACTCCAGCTTGTGTCAAGTTGGCATAAAACTAGCCAGCGCAGTGATGGAGGCTGTCCAGGGCATCCACAGGACCCATGCTCAAAGCCGCTGTATAGGAAAGAAAGCTAGAGCCTGGCCCTGTGCAGGCCTTGATATGGGACACAGGGACGATGTCCCTGCTGGAGCAGGATCCAGCAAAGGATACAATCAGAGTTTGTCAGTATGGAAGTCCGCAGAGGCTTCAGATGCCAGGATTCCTGGGTGCAGCAGGAATTCGGAAAGTCCTCGAGAAAAGAGACAGGATGGAGCTCCGTGTCCCACCTCTAGATGAGAAAGCCGACGAGGGGGCAGAGAGAGGCAGTGGGCAAGTTCACAGGCCGGCTTCCACGGAGCAAGGGACAGCAGAGATGTCACAGGTGGTGAGCCTGGCTTGTCCCCAGCAGTGTGGGACTTTGGGTCAGCTCCAGGGAGCCCAGCTGTGGCATTTCCCTGAGACTCGGTACAGGGTTCCTGACAGAGTGACTAAGGCTCTGTTCAGGACAGCCACCCCCACACCCGGAAATAATGGCGGGCGGACGCTTGCATGGCACGGAGGGCCACTTCCTAGTTTCATCTTGTCCTTGCTGGGAGTATGACTCCTGTCCAAGTGGGCTGGTTCCCCAGCCTCTGAGAGGACCAGAGCCAGCGATGGAGGGTAGAATTCGCAGCTGGCCAGGAGGAGGCAGGGTCCAGGCAGAGCCAATTTCGGCAAGATGCCCTTTGCCAGATCAAGCACAGGAACCTCCAGAGAGAAGGCATTTGTTACCCTGTGTCCCCTGTGTCCCAAGGGCCAGCCCCCTGCACCAGCGGGGAGTGGGGTGGGGGGTTGATCCCCTCAAAAGTCTGCAGACATTAGCTTTCTTTCTCCAGGTGTTTTTTGTTGTTGTTTCGTTTTGTTTTGTTTTTCGAGACAGGGTTTCTCTGTGTAGTTTTGGAGCCTATCCTGGCACTCGTTCTGTAGACCCCCAGAGCCCCGCCTGCCTCTGCTTCCTGAGTGCTGGGACGAAAGACGTGCGCCACCAACACCTGGCTTCCTTCTCCAGGTTATGACTCCAGAGATCAAATGGCTTCTGCCTCCACCACCACTGATGCCTCTTAGGCAGGGAAAGCACTGATGCCTCTTAGGCAGGGAAGCCCAGTGAGCAGCGGCCACTGCCTCTCAGTGGGCAGTAAGGAATCAGGAGGGGAGGCCAGCGCCATTTCACCCATAAAGTCACTTCAGCTACCTACGGTCACCCTCGTAACATCAAGTCAACATTCCAGCGGGCAGCACTAACCAGACTCGGCCGGTTACTAACGCAAAAGGAGGAACCGGGCGTTGGTGGCACAGGACTTTAGTCCCAGCACTCGGGAGGCAGAGGCAGGTGGGTCTCTGTGAATTTGAAGCCCGCCTGGTTAGTATAGCAAGTTCCAGGGGTTGGAGGTTCGGGGGACACAAAGCGGAGGGAAGCCTTGGAGGAGTGAGAAGGGAAAGTTGGTAGCATCCAGACGTTGTTTACATGTCTGAAATCATTGAGACATAAATAAAAAATCTACTCATTGAAAATGAGTGGTGGTCTCCAGAGTGAGTGGCCCTGCTGGGCGGTGACCCCAATAGTCAGTGATGTTGGGCCTTGCCTTGGAGGACCCTCAAAGTGCTGCCAATGCCCAGCACCTACTGTCCAGTTTCTTTCTTTTCTCCTCCCAGCTCCCCCCCACCCCTTTTTTGTGAGACAGAATCTCACTCTCTTCCCTGGCCGCCCTCCCCGGGCCTGCCACTCTAGGCCTGGCTCACCACACCTGGCTCTGCCTCACCCTTTGCTCCCTGCTGCTGCTGAGCTGGCCCACCCTGAGGAAGGCGCAGCAGCCTTGGCTCTCGGAATCCCACTGCCCACTGCCTGTGACCTCTGGGAAGAGCCCTGAGGCAGGCGGGAAGCCAGCTGCTCCCAGGAGCCAGCACAAGACCTCACCTGCTTTCCCTGCCCCGCCCTTCCAACCAGTTCCCTAATGGCCTCCAGATGGTTCCCTCGCAATGTAGTAGAGCCGGGGGCTCTTTGAGGTAGCAGGGTCTAGCCACAGGGTGGAATGATAAGCAGTGAGTCAGAGGCCCCCAAGGCCTTGATCTCCAAGATGAACTTTTGACCCCATCAGGTCACAGGTCAAGAATCCCAGGTCTGGGACAGGCCTTCTTGTGGCCTGGGGCAGATGATAGGTCTCAGCTCAGACCAAAGATGTCTTCTGCAGGATAAGTGACTTGTTCTGGGCACAAGACACGGGAACCCCCACTCACATCTGAAGTCCTATGTCTCAAGCCACAGGGTTAGCAGGGAGGGCTCCTACCAGACACCTTGGCCAACCAAGAAGGAGTAAGTGGGGTGTTCTGTGCCCACTCAGACTCCAGGGTGTAGGGAGGGACACCTGTCTCTCATGAGGCCCTTGAGGCTGTCCCCTAGCACAAAGCTTCTGCTCCCAGCTCCCCACCAATGCAACTTGACCCCTGCATTCCTCCCTGTGTCCTGGCCCTCCAAAGAGCCAGGGTGGCCAAGTTGAAGTCTAAGAATATCTGGGAAATAGGAGGGGCCATGTGGCTTCACAACTTCTTCAGGCCCACTATGCTGGTTCTACAGTCTGACTGTGTACAACATGGACAGAGCAAGGCGGGCACCCTGTGTATCTGTGGGTAAGGCCGGTGTGATATGCCACTCTGTTATTTGATGTCTGCGGGCTATATTGGAGTGGTATATATGTGCTCTGTGTGTATACAGAGTGTATTTGTGCGATACCTGTGGGCTGTGTTAGTGTGGTATATATTCTCTGTGGTGTGTGGGTAGGGGTGTGTGTGTGTGTGTGTGTGTGTGTGTGTGTGTGTGTGTGTGATCTAGGGGGTTTATCTGTGTGGTGCATATGCTCTGGAGGGCGGGGAGCATGTGTCTATGTTAGTATTGTGATTATCTGTGCTATGTTTGTGTGGTCTACATGTCCTTCATATGTGTGTAGCGTGTATCTATGTGTGGTGTGACATATAGGTTGTGTCTGTGTGGTATGTGTATTCTGTACATGTGATATATGTCTGTTTGTGTATTGTATGACATCTGTGGCTTGTGTCCTATGTGTTACATGATGTCTCTGGACTGTGTCTATACGATGTAGCTGTGGTATGTGTGTGTGATTCTGTGTGTCTAAGGCGTGTGTCCATGGCCCTGTGGGAGCACCCATCTCATCAGAGCACCCATGAGAACTAGGCAGTGCAGTGTGTTGTCTAAACACGGCAGTACCAGGAGATTTGGGCCCCAGAAACAATGAGAAGTAGGGAGAACCCGGTTTCTCTCAGGTGGATACCCAGTCTCCAGGCCTTGCGGGGGGCCTGGTTCCCACATTATCCTTCCCGGCAGATGTTGTTTAGTAGACTCAGGGCTGGGGAAACTGGGGTTACTGTCCCTTTTCTTGTGGCCAGGTGTGGCTCTGGGTACTCATAGGAACAGAGAAGCTGTCACATACCCACCAGGGCCATGCCCACGCTTCTCAATTTACCCCCCGGGGGGGGGGGCACTTACAGTGGGATGTTAACTCAGTGCCAAGGAGTCCAGCCAAGCTCCAAGTCCATCCCCAGGCCCTGAGCCACAGGACACAACTCACTTCTCAATCCCGGTTTCCCAGAAGGTTGACCAGGTGTCCCAGATGCCTGCGTGGGTCTATCTGCACGCTATCTATGTACACAGCATTCTAAGTCAGGACCCTGTAGCAAAGTGGGTTAGATTATTCTTATTGGTCCCAGTCCTAGTTAGGGGGGCAACCCATGTTCTCAGAGAGACCAGAAGACTGGCAGAAGGCTGGCCAAAGCCATGGTGTGGGATGCAGGCTTCAGAACCATTAGTTAGCTGAGCCTAGTGGTTCATGTCTGTGATCCCAGCTACTCAGGAACTGGGAAAGGAAGATTACATATACAGGGCTTCTCTGGGTAATTTAGTGAAATCTTGTCTCAATGCAAAAAAGCAAAAAGAGGACTAGGGTATCTGGTTCAGTGATAGAGTGCTTGCCTAGAATTCCCCAGTGAGAGGCTGGGAGCACTGTCCAATGACAGAATACTTGCTTAGCATACATGAGACATTAAGTTCAATCCCCAGGACTGCAAAAACAAAACAAAACAAACAAAAATCCACAAGTTGCCATGGTTGTACCTTTTGCACTATCCATTGGCCTCTGGGCCTGCAGGCCACATGGTCATCCAGGAAACATCCACCCTGCCTGGCCTGCTGCCTCCTTGCCCTGATAGCAGACGGGCAAGACCTGGATAGGGAAGGGGGGTTTCCTGCCGTGGTCAGGACTTTTCCTGGGGCCAATATGCTCCAGGCTAACAGGGTTAAAGGAGAGATGAGAGTCCCAGAACTCTGGGTCAGGCCCATGTGAGCATCCATCCTCTCCTTTCCTGTTTGCATGCCCCTCTGAGCCTGGGTCCTGTCTGCAGCATGCTTTCCATCAAATGCTCACACACATCTTCCACGTTAGCAAACAGCCTCTCCTGCCTCACCCATGCCTGTCCCCTGTTCTGCCTCCTCTGCTCTTCTTCCTCTCCTGGGAAGAGAAGTTTCTCTATGTTGGAATCTCTGAGCCATGGCCCCTCCCTGTAGCAAATGTTCATGGACCTGAGACACAGAATGGCTGAGCCTGATTAAGCCCTTCAGAAGACCCTGGGGAAGCAGAGGGCATCTCCTCTCAGGAGCCAGGTAAGGGTCATTTGTTTGTTGTCCCACAGTCTCTGGGTCATCTTCCAAGGAGCTTTGGATTCCTTAAGTTGCAACCCGAGTGGGTCAGAAAACTGCGTTCCTGGTACCCCCAGAAGAGCCACCAGCAGACAATGGGTCAGGCTTCCCAAAAGTGGAGCAGGATGAGTGGGCGGGACAGGAGTGGGTGTGGCAGTGGTCCTCCCAGCAGAGCTACAGAGGATATGATCCAAGGAGCACAATGGAGGCCTCTGAGTCTCCCTCTCATTCCCAATCCAAGCTGCAGGGCTGCTGGGAGGAGCCCTCTGGATGAGAAAGACAGTGTCTCCCATCTTATGGCATCCCCCCACTATACCCCATTTCAACCAGGCCATGCTGAAGACGGGGCTGGCTGTGAGCCCCAGAATCCAAGCCCAAAGCACAGAAGTTTGGCAGTACTGGGCACCTTTGGGAACATTGGAGAAAAAGCAGGAAGGCACCCTGAGGCTGCAGCTCTCACAGCCTCTCAGCCTCAGAAGGGCTTTTCAAATCTTTCACTCATAGCCTCCCTGGGCCCTGCAGAACGAAGGGGCCTGCACACAGAGCCTCCACCGCATGCCTCAGCCCCTGGACCAGAGGAAAGGGAAAAGACGGGACCTACAGGGACAGATAGCCTCACACCCTCCCTTCCTCTCTAAGCCTGAGCCAGAGCCAGGGGCCAGCCCCTCACCCACCCCA